CCAGGGAGGGTCGGGGGGACGCGCCCCCGGGCGGGATGGGGAGCGGGACCCGGTCGGACGGAGCCCAGGGAGGGGAATGGCCCCTTGGACCACGGATCCCCGTCCCTGAGGCCGTTACGGTCCCGCCTGGCCGGCTGTGGGGCTCTGCCCGGGGGGATTCGGGGCAGGTCTCCGACGGGTCAGACGAGACGGGCACAGTGGTGCCTTCTGGCCTTGAAATCAATGAAAGCCTGAGGGGGGCATCAGAGCCCTGGGGGGCGCTGTGGTGCATGCTGGGAGCCGTGCTCCCCGTGGGGGGGGGGGGCAGGGCCCCGGGGGGCGCCGTGGTGTATGCTGGGAGTCATGCTCCCTGCGGGGCAGTGTTGGGGTCCCGTGTCTGACCCCCCCGTGTCTCCCCAGCCCCCAGCAGCCGGCACCGGGTGCTCCTGACCTTCCTGTTCATGGACACGGAGTGCACCTACGACTACCTCTTTGTCTACGACGGCGACTCCCCGCGCTGCCCCCTGCTGGCCAGCCTGAGCGGCAGCACCCTGCCCCCCCCCCTCGAGGCCACCTCCGGCAAGGTGACCCCCCACCCAGGGCTGGCGGGGTGGGGTGTGAGAAGGGGGGAGAGTCCGGGGGAGGGTAGTGGGGTCAGTGGGGGGAGGGGTTGTTGGGAAAGTGGGGGGCTGGGGAGAGTTTGGAGGATGGGGGGTTACTGGGGGCTGTGGGGGGTAGATGGGGGTGACTGGGTGCTGTGGGGGGTAGGTGAGGGGTTGAGGGGTGACTGGGGGCTGTGGGGGGGTAGGTGGGGGGTTGGGGAGTGACTGGGGGCTGTGGGGGGGTAGGTGGGGGGTGACTGGGGGCTGTGGGGGGGTAGGTGGGGGGTGACGGGGGGATAGGTGGGGTGTTGGGGGGTGACTGGGGGCTGTGGGGGGTAGGTGGGGTTGGGGGGCCCATGTGTTTGACCCCGTCTCACACACCCCAGATGCTGCTGCACCTGTTCAGTGACGCCAACTACAACCTGCTGGGCTTCAACGCCAGCTACCGGGTCTCGCTCTGCCCCCGCGGCTGCTCCGGCCACGGTGCCTGCGAGCCCCACGGCCAGTGCCAGTGTCAGCCTGGCTGGGGGGGGCCCGACTGCGCCGTGCCCCACTGCGACAGCTACTGCCTGGGCCACGGGGCCTGTGACCAGGTGAGACCCCCGAGCCCCACTGCCCACTGATCTCCCCTGAGCCCACTGCCCCCCTGAGCCCCACTGCGACGGCTACTGCCTGGGACACTGGGCCTGCCACCATGTTAGATCCCTGAGCCCCACTGCCCCCACCACCAGGTGAGTGAGACTCTCCCCCCACGGCTCCCTCTCCCCTGTGAACGGAGGGATGGGCCAGGACCCGGGGCTGGGGGTCTGCGAGCCGGGACCCTCCGTCCATCTGTCTGTCTGTCCCCGCAGGAGTCCGACCGGTGCCGGTGTCAGCCAGGCTTTGTGGGCGAGGCTTGTGACCTGGCGCTGGGCGAGAACCAGGGTGCCGGGCGCTGGTACAACGTGAGCTCCGGGGACCCCCACTTCCGACCCCGCACGGCTGCTGCTGGCGCCGTCCTGCCCCCCACCGGGGCGTTCTACATCTTCGGGGGTCAGAGACACCGCCGCCACGGGGGTTGGGGCACAGTGGGGGGTGCATGGTGGGTGGGGGATGCAGTGAGGTTGAGGGGAAGTGGGGCAGGGTAGGGGTGGGGGTGGGGGTACAGGGGGGTAGGGTGGGAGGAGTTGGGGTAGGGGTGGGGACAGGAGTGCAGGGGGGCAGGGTGGGTGGGGGGTGCAGTGGGGTTGAGGGGAGGGGGGGACGGGTGCAGGAGGGCTGAGGGGAGGTAGGGTAGGGGTGGTGAGGAGGATGCAGGGGGGTGAGGCAGGCGTTTGGGGCCCCCCCTCACAGCTGCTCTGCTCCCCAAGGGCTGGACCTGAACACGGCGCTGGGCGACCTCGTCATCTACAACTTCACCTCCAACCTGTGGCAGCGCCGGGTGCTGAGCCCCTCCCCGGTACGTGCCCCCCCCACGCCCCTCCTCCCCGGTACGCCCCCCCCGTGCCCGCCCCGCGCCCCTCCTTCCTGGTACGTCCCCCCCGTGCCCCTCCTGTGCCCCTCCTCCCCGGTAGGTTCCCCCCATGCCCCCTCTGTGCTCCTCCTCCCCGGTATGTCCCCCCCCCGCTGGGCCCAGCCGAGCGGCTCCCCAGCACCCTCCCCCACAGCGTGCGCCCGGCCTTGCCCGGCCCACTCCCGCGCGGCTCAGAGACGCAGCGTGTCAGAGCGCTGGGGTGAATCCGGCACCGGCAGCTCAGCCGGGAGTTCCCGGATCCGCGCGCGGGGCTGGTCAGACGGGTACGGCAAACCCGGGGCCGTGTCTACATGGCAGAGTTTGGTTCACGAGTTACGCTGCGTCCCCACGAGCTCCCTGTGCCGGCAGAGCCCGGCGGGGACCTACCCACCGTGCGACGGGCCGCAGGGGCTTGGGGGGTGGGGGGCTGCAAAGCCTCACGGGGCAGGGCCAGCCTCACGGGCTGCATCATCCCCTGGCAGCCGCTTGGCAACTGACGTGTGAGACGGGAGTGAGTGTGTGTGTGTGTGGGGAGACGGAGTGTGTGTGGGGGGGCGAGTGTGTCAACACGCCCTCTCTGTACGGTCACACAGCAGCCGGAACAGCCAGTCCTGGGGAGGGGGACCCCCCCCACAGCACAGTGGTCTCGCCCCGCCGCTGTGCCAGGAGATCAGGATCCCACATCCATGCTTCGCCGCGTTCTCCCGGCGCGCCCCCCGCAGCGGCTCTGAGCTCTCCAGGCCGGGGCTCCGAGTGCGGGGAGGGGGCGTGTCTGCAGGGCACCAAGTTGCAAACGGAGCAGAGCGGTCAGGGCGGGCATTGTGGGATACTGGGGGAGGCCAGTCCCATGGGCGTCCCGAACGTGTGTGGCTCTGCTGTGCCTCTCCCTGGGCTGGTTCGATTTTCTCGGCAGAGCAGCCGTGCAGTGTGCCCAGCTCCCGGTCTGCCGGCCCGGCTACGCCGCGTCGTGTAGACAAGGGCTCAGTGAAACCTTGTCAAACGGGCTCCAGCGCGGGCCGGGCTCCGGGTTCTCTCACCTCCTGCCTCCTCCCCAGCCGCGGCCGGCTCTGCCCGCGCACCACACGGCGCCGGCCCCCCTCTTCCTCGCGCAAGAGTCTTGCTAAGCCGGTCGTTTTCCACAGACTTCGGCCCCCCCTTGGCGGAAGGACCCCCACACCTCCCTGGACCCCGCCCCCCGGGGTGCATGGCTCCCAGCATGCACCACGCTGCCCCCCCCGGTCTCTGACACCCCCCCAGGGAGCCCAGCTCCCAGCATGCACCACGCTGCTCCCCCAGTCTCTGACCCCCGTTCTCGGCTGGCCAGAGCTCTGGGCCCTGGCGTCCGTGCAGTGCAGGGGCCAAAGGGGACGTCCCGCCTTGCTTGTCTCCCCCAAGGCTCAGTGACCCTGGTCCCCGAGGCCGGGTGAGCTCAGGCTGCCGGCCCCAGTTTCCGGCAGCCTGGGGGAAGCGTAACATCCGTGCGTCTCTAGCTCCTCCGGCAGCGGTAACGCCGGCACCCGAGCGCCGCTCGCTTTTCGGGACAGTCACGCTGGGCCGCGCTGCAGGTTTCCGTGCTCGGCCCTCGCAGGGGCCTGGGACCCTCTGCGGGGATCCGAGAAAGGGCAGAGCCAGCCCCGGCATCTCTCTCCGGCTGGCTGGCTCCGTGGCTCTGTTCTCTGCCGCCCCGGCTGGGTCCTTTCCCCAGGGCAGACACCCCCCCGCCCCGCCTGGTAAGACAGACACTAGTCACGGCTCCCGCACACTGGCAGGGCAGAGCCCTCGGGACGGGGCAGCCCCACCAGCTTCGCGTTCCCGCGTGTTCTCAGCTGCCTCCCTGGGATGCTGGTGGCAGGTTTCAAACCACGTCCTACGTCCCGAGCTCCATCCCCCAGCCCAGCGTGGGGTGTAGCGAGTGCGTCAGGCCGGGCGGCTGCTGGCGCAGGGCCATCAGCTACAGACTGTGTCGTCCCGTCCCGTCCCCGCGGTGGTGTGTCCCCTCCCCCTGCGCTAACCCCCTCTCCCCCCGCAGGCGGCCCGTCACTCCCACGTGGCCGTGGCCTGGCAGGGCTGCCTGGTGCTGTGCGGCGGGGAGCTGGCCGACGGCTTCCTGGCCAGCGACGTCTGGATGTACCAACCCCACGATGGGTGCTGGCTGGAGTTGGCCCCCCCCAACGCCACGGGCTCTCTGCCCCCCGGCCTGGCCAGCCACGCCGCAGCCGTGGTCGACACGTGGCTGTACGTCTTTGGAGGTGAGACGTGGGCTGGGAGCCAGGACGCCTGGGTTCCCTCCCTGCCTCCGGGAGGGGAGCAGGGTCTGGTGGGTTAGAGCAGGGGGGGGCTGGGAGCCAGGTGTCCCAGGATCCCAGGCTGGGGGCTCTGGCAGGGCTCTGGGGCAGTGTCTCCCCGCAGGGCACCTGTCACCAGGGCCAGGAGCCTGCTTGGCTGTGGCCTCCTGGGTCCGACCTCGGAGCGTTCAGCCCCCTGGTGAACCCGGGATCTCCCCGCAGCGAGTCCCCCTGGATGGGACCCCTGGGGAGCCTCACGTGCCCCCATAGGGCCCTCCCTCCCCCCCAGCCAACAGCGACTCCCAGCCAGCGTGTGACCAGACAGGTGGTTAGTCGTGGGCACAGATCCTCGCTAACATCGCTCCCCTGCCGAGACGCCGAGCAACATCCCGCGAAGCTCAGCGAATTCAGATGCCTCCGATCCACCCGGACCTTCACAACGTGTGTCTGACACCCCCCCCCCCGTCTTACGCCTCACAAGCCTTTCGGGCACGTCCGTTTCGCCTCGTGCAATCGGCTGCGATCCGAAGGAGGCTGGAAAGCAGACTGGGCTAAACAAGACTTAACAAATAAGCACCTTGTGCCGGGTCCCAGGCAGAAGGTTCCTGGGTTTGACCTTCCGGGGGCATCGTGGTGACCTGAGCCGAATCCAAACCAGCCCTGGGGGATGGGGGCGTCTAACGCACACATGGGAAATCAGGGCCGCCCCGGTGTGCGAGCGGCTCCCGCGACGGGCCCACGAACGTCTCCGCACCGAGTACGCTGGAGCCGTTGCTGCAATCGGTTCTGTGACCCCTGCGGGAGCCGCTGGGCTCAGCCAGTGTGGGGAAATGGCCGCTCTGCGCCAGGTCGTCATCGTGGGGAACCCAGCGCAGAACAGAGCTTGTCAGCGCAGGGAGCCCTGTGCTCCCCCTGAGTCCCAAACCAGCAGCCCAGCCTCAGACCCGCCTGTCGCCTCCTTCGGCCTTTGTCTCCTTCCTGGGCAGGCAGGTCGACTGGGCTGCCCCAACACCCTGGCTGGCTCCTGCAGGCGACGGGCTCCGGCCATCAGTCGCAAGGATACAAGGTGTTGGCCGGGCTCTGTGCCCAGGCAGCCCGTCGGCGTCACACCTGCCCTCTAGGGGTCTCTGCAGCGATCACACCCCCTGATCCCCCCACCTAGGTACTGGAGTAACACACGGGAAACTGAGGCACACCCAGTATTCAGAACATTCCCATTTCCTCACACAGACACCTGGGCTGTGTGCCAGCTCTGGGACGGGAGTGGGGGCTAGTAGTTAGAGATGGGGATGCGGTGGGGGTTGGAGCCAGGACACCTGGGTTCCATCCCCGCTAACCCTGCTCCCCCCCGCAGGCCGCACCGCCGTGGACGTCTTCTCCTCGCAGATGTTCCGCTTCCATCTGGAGAGGTGGCAGTGGGAGCGCGTGGTGCCCGCTGGGGGGAAGGCGCCCGCTGCTGCCGGGCACTCCATGGTCTTCCACCCGCCTTCCCGTGCCCTGCTGGTGTACGGGGGCCACCGGCCCTCCACAGCCCGGTGAGCGGGGCTGGGCTGGGGGGCGTGGCTGGGCGGCCCAAGGAAAGGCTGGAGGGCCCAAGGAGAGACGGGGGGCATGGCTGAGGGGCCCAGGGAGAGGCTGGGGGTGTGGCTGAGGGCTGGGGGGCCCAGGGAGAGGTGGGGGGCGTGGCTGGGGGGG